TTCGATCAAACAAATTTTCTGCAAGTGTATGTGGTTATCAATCAGAAATTACATTCATTTTAAAAATCAAATGTTAATAGTAAAAGAAGACGATTTTCGAACAACATTCGGACATTTATCGAATGTGCAAAGAATTTTCATACATTTCTTATGAATATTCTTGTCCAAAAATCTACACGTGTATGGCCAGCTTGAGCCCTGGCTCACACTGATGTGGTGCGGAATTTGCAGTGTTTTCTGTGCGAATTCTGCACCGCATCAGAATCACACCCCATTCATGCGAACAGCTGTGGGTGTGTATGTTAAGTTACCACACCCTGAAAGCAGTCCGCAAAACGTGGTGCGGTGTGCAGAATCGGATCGCATAGGTGTGAATACCCATGCCAACAATCCGATTCTAGTGCGGACCCAAAAAAAGGGTACTGCACCTTTTTGGTGCAGGTGCGGTGCGATTAGAGCCATACAAAATGTATGGCTCCAATCGCACCGCACACAAATCTCATGTGATTGGCACAGGAATGCGGTGCGGTTCCTATGCAAATCACATGCGATATACCGCCTTGTACATATGTGAATTCAGGCTTAGGTAGCTTTGAAATGAGACATCCCTGACCTCTCCAGCTGCATCTGAAAAGTTTATATGAGAAGCAATGAAATCACAGCTGCTTTCCCTTTGTTTCTCTGGCAGCAGGGATTTGGCAGCCTACCTGTCTTCTAATGAGCAGGCAGTGTACAGACTGAATCTTTCACAATATGCCTGCATCTGAATCGCAGAGGAACCCGCTATGCGTTCCTGTGCAATTCACATGTGGTTCTAGGTGGTTTATTATGAATGGGTTTGAATTCGCACTGCAGCACAGCAAACATAGCTCATGCACTCCTTTTTTTTCTGAAAATTCTTTTTTATTAGCAAATTTTCAATTTACAAACACAAACAATGGGAACAAAAAAGTTGTGCAAACAACACAGTACAGTCAGGTCCATAAATATTGGGACATTGACACAATTCTAACATCTTTGGCTCTATACACCACCACAATGGATTTGAAATGAAACGAACAAGATGTGCTTTAACTGCAGACTGTCAGCTTTAATTTGAGGGTATTTACATCCAAATCAGGTGAACGGTGTAGGAAGTACAACAGTTTTCATATGTGCCTCCCACTTGTTAAGGGACCAAAAGTAATGGGACCATTGGCTTCTCAGCTCTTCCATGGCCAGGTGTGTGTTATTCCCTCATTATCCCAATTACAATGAGCAGATAAAAGGTCCAAAGTTCATTTCAAGTGTGCTATTTGCATGAGATCCAAAGAGCTGTCACCCATCAGAGAGATAGCAAAAACATTAGGCGTGGCCAAAACAATTGTTTGGAACATTCTTAAAAAGAAGGAACGCACCGGTGAGCTCAGCAACACCAAAAGACCCGGAAGGCCACGGAAAACAACTGTGGTGGATGACCAAAGAATTCTTTCCCTGGTGAAGAAAACACCCTTCACAACAGTTGGCCAGATCAAGAACACTCTCCAGGAGGTAGGTGTATGTGTGTCAAAGTCAACAATCAAGAGAAGACTTCACCAGAGTGAATACAGAGGGTTCACCACAAGATGTAAACCATTGGTGAGCCTCAAAAACAGGAAGGCCAGATTGGAGTTTGCCAAACGACATCTAAAAAAGCCTTCACAGTTCTGGAACAACATCCTATGGACAGATGAGACCAAGATCAACTTGTACCAGAGTGATGGGAAGAGAAGAGTATGGAGAAGGAAAGGAACTGCTCATGATCCTAAGCATACCACCTCATCAGTGAAGCATGGTGGTGGTAGTGTCATGGCGTGGGCATGTATGTCTGCCAATGGAACTGGTTCTCTTGTATTTATTGATGATGTGACTGCTGACAAAAGCAGCAGGATGAATTCTGAAGTGTTTCGGACAATATTATCTGCTCATATTCAGCCAAATGCTTCACAACTCATTGGACGCCGCTTCACAGTGCAGATGGACAATGACCCAAAGCAGACTGCAAAAGCAACCAAAGAGTTTTTTAAGGGAAAGAAGTGGAATGTTATGCAATGGCCAAGTCAATCACCTGACCTGAATCCGATTGAGCATGCATTTCACTTGCTGAAGACAAAACTGAAGGGAAAAATGCCCCAAGAACAAGCAGGAACTGAAGACAGTTGCAGTAGAGGCCTGGCAGAGCATCACCAGGGATGAAACCCAGCGTCTGGTGATGTCTATGCTGCCAGACTTCAGGCTGTAATTGACTGCAAAGGATTTGCAACCAAGTATTAAAAAGTGAAAGTTTGATTTATGATTATTATTCTGTCCCATTACTTTTGGTCCCTTAACAAGTGGGAGGCACATATGCAAACTGTTGTAATTCCTACACCGTTCACCTGATTTGGATGTAAATACCCTCAAATTAAAGCTGACAGTCTGCAGTTAAAGCATATCTTGTTCGTTTCATTTCAAATCCATTGTGGTGGTGTATAGAGCCAAAAATGTTAGAATTGTGTCGATGTCCCAATATTTATGGACCTGACTGTAGCTTGGTACATCCAAATTAAGTCAAACGCCACATCATGGTATTGATAAGAGCAGTCAACTTGTATTGAATTCCATCACAATAGTTGATATGCCGGACTGACTGTTACATTTGTGGGTAGTAGTGCATGCTGTGATCACCGCTCAGGCGGAAGGATCGGTATGCACATTTATAATATATTTTATTTTACTGTTTCTCATTTGAGTGCTCAGCTAAGATTCAATTAGAGGATCACACAGTGCCAGTACAAAATGTACAAATTATACTTTAACCACTTGCCCTCCTGAGGATTTTCCCCCCTTCCTGACCAGGCCATTTTTTGCGTTACAGCGCTGAGTTACTTTAACTGACAATTGCGCAGTCATGCAACGCTGCTCCCAAATGAAATTTACATCCTTTTTTTCCCACAAATGGAGCTTTCTTTCGGTGGTATTTGATTGCCTGTGCATTTTGTATTTTTTGCGCTATAAATAAAAAAAGACTGCAATTTTGAGAAAAAAATATTTTTGACTTTTGCCTATTAAACATGTCCAGTAAAAAAAAAAATTAATAAATCAAATTTCGGCATAAAGTTAGGCCAAAATGTATTCTGCGACATGTCTTTGCTAAAAAAAAAAATCCCAATACATGTAAATTAATTGTTTATGTGAAAGTTATAGCATTTACAAATGGCAGTATAGATAACGGGATTTTTTATTTCTACTAGTAATGGCAGTGATCAGCGACTTTTAGTGGGACTGCGGCGGATATTCTGATACTGGGGGGGGGGGGGGGGGAAACTAACTTGGTGTCACTGACACCCCAGTGGCACCAATACAGTGATTAGTGCTAAAAAAAAGCACTGACACTGTACTAATGGCACTGGGCAGGAAGGGATTAATGTGAGGAGCGGTCAAAGGGTTAACTGTGTGCTGGGAGTGTTTTACTATGGGGCTGGGGGGGGTGTTCCTTACTGTAAGCACACTGATCGGGATGACTATACTGTGCACAGCCATCCCGAGCAGTGTGTTCGAGCTGACAGGGAGGAAGATTGTTTGTAAACAAAACAATCTTCCTCCCCGTCGGAGATGCTCGGTAATCGCCGAGCGCCGGTAGGTAATTACTGGCCGGGACCTGGTGATTGACATCCGCGTCCGTGAATGGCTCACCCTTCCCAGAGATGCAAAATCACACTTATTATTATTATTATTATTACATCAAGTTTATATAGCGCCAAAGGGTTTGCTCAGTGCTGTACAATTCCCAATACATGAAATACAGCAACAACAAACAGCACACGAGGGGTTAGAGGGCCCTATCTTTCGAGCTTACAATCTAGGATATATATATATACGTGATTCTGCGCACAGGTGCCACCCTGTAGCAGTATATCTGCTACAGGGCGTTCCTTAAGCGGTTAACCAGCTTTTACGTTTTGGGCCAAGTAATAGCTGCAATGATAAACTTCTCTAGTATATGGAATTTGGCCCCAAAAACATGGCCACAGCTATGCAGACTACAGGAAAATGGCGCCCAAGTGATCCCCATATATAAAGAGAATGAGCGCTGTGCTGTCCAATCAATTCTCCCTGATGAAGCCACGTGACCCGGTGGCGTAACATGTAGGTGAGGGGCTCTGACGTCACAACGCTCATGCAGAAAGAGAGAGAGAGATACTAGCAAGTACACAGCATTGAATCGCTAGCAATTGTTTGGAGTTTATATGCAACAGCGCTTTTTACATCATCCACATGTGAGTGCAATACAGTGTATTTATACATGTTTTAAATAAGAATAAGGCACTATGTTTTGATTATTTCTTATGTCATATGAACTGATGGAGGAGGACTACTAAAGAAGTGAGGGGATCCAGACCCTTTAGCATAACTATCCCATCTATCCACACTCCACATTAATGGACACAAGCTTTATATGACCTCACTTAACGGTTTGGTCATATTTACCAGGTGAGAGCCCAACTGGTAAAGGTGCACGAGTGGTTGTTATGATAACACAAGCAACAGTTGATTTGTCCACATCACTTCAAAAATCCAATTATCACAGATGTGACATGGACATGTTTAATTTTGGAAGAGATTTATGAGTTTGGAACAGGGGCGGACTGACAACACATGGGGCCCCCGGGCAACAGGGGATCATGGGGCCCCTGTGTCCTTGCCCAAACTCAAAAAAGCCTATGAAAAAGGTACCATGGGCATCTCATGGGGCCCCCTACTGACCCCGGGCCCTCGGGCAGTGCCTGAGTTTCCAAATGGTCAGTCCGCCCCTGGTTTGAAAGTTTTATATACACATATTGGTTACCAGTGGAGCACGGCACAATTTCTTGTTGGAAAATCCATTGCTTTTGCTGGAGCCCATTAACACCAATATGTTGCACTTAGGTGCATGATGCATGTGTTGGGAGGTGACCTGCATTTTGACACAGTTGTAATGGTACTTTGAATATGTTACATACCTCGCTGCCCTGTAAGCCACCAAGTTCCGTTCTGTCCATTACTTTTAAGATATGAAATAGGTACCTTCCAGATATATCTGAAATAGATTTAAATCAGCAAATTGATTTAATTCTGCTAAAGTGGTTTGAATACAGGAATATCAGACAGATTATCCAGTTGGTAATGCAATTTAAAGAGTAACATCACCTAATATTGATTACTCTGTATCCGAAGAATGAGGTTAAGATTTAACTATTAGTTGAGTTTTTCTGCTTTGTGGGACCTCAATGCCAACATGACCAGCCACTTGGTGATGTTGGCATTGGCAGATTTCAATCGTGAACTCTGTGATAGCCAATCAGTGTTCTCATGATCACATAGCCCAACTCTGCCTCCTCGCATTCAGATCCTATTAAAGGGTTAGGCAGCAGAGGTGGCAAGGGGTGGCATTTTAGTACATACAGAAAAAAAATATATCAATTATGTATATCAAACCTCCACCCGGGTTGTAGCTTTCAAAGTGAGCTTAAGCCTGGTTTCACACTGATGCATTGCGGAATTCGCACCGCTTGTGATTTCTGCACTACATCATCATTGCACCTGGTTCATGCGAACTGCTGTGGGTGTGCATGTTAACACCCCAAAATCAGTTCGCAAAATGCGGTTCAATGTGCAGAATCGGATTCACACCAATGTGATCTGATTCTGGTGCTAGCAAAAAAAAAAGGGTCCTGTACTGTTTTGTTGCGGATGTGGTGCAATCTGAGCCATACAAAATGTATGGCTCAAATTGCACCGCACAGAAATCGCATGTGATTTGCACAGGAATGCGGTGTGGTTCCTGTGTGAATCAAAAACGATGTGCCACACCGCATATGTGTGAATCCAGGCTAAAGTTGAAGTTTAGGTAAGTCAATTTTTATATAGTTACATTTGTCTAGCTGGCATCAATGTAAGTATGTACAGTATATGTCATACCTGCGGGATGCCAGTGGAAGTTGATAATCACTGTAGTAGGCACCACTACTCCAGAGATTGCTGCTAGCTTTTGGGTCCCATGCCAAACAGTTGTCCTGTTGCTTACTGAACACAGAAAGTCCCTTGCTTAGTACAGGCATCATTCAATCAGCACTTTGCATTTTCCGGCCACATGGGCCCCCATTTCCTAATGGGCTTCAGATGTCCAGTGGGACAGAGGGGACACTGGAGGTAGTGGAGACAGAGAGTCCTCTTGTAAGTGTGTAAGCATATGATTCCTGACTTAGCCCTAGGGTCAAAGTGTGTGGGGACCCTGACAAAAGCAGTGAACCGGAGGTGTGGTTATTAGAGTTTCACTGAGAATTTTACTGTAGGTCTCGGCAGAGATTTTTCCTTTTCCCCCCTCTGAACATTTCTATCATTTATTATTCTAAAACATAATTTCTCATACATTAGTCTATTATTTTAACCTCCCTAGCGGTCTGATTATGTCATTATTTCTGTGCTCAAAGCGGCACATTTTTTTGCATGGAAATATGTTTTTTTTTTTTTATTGTAGGCCTGTAATTTTTAGGAATAACTCACTGAAATCTGTCCGAACAAGAGTCTAGTAAACATCCCGGGTAGGATAAAGCTTGAAACACGAAATCATAAATTATAATTTAATAAATAATCATAAAAAATAATAAATTTAAATTCAATAATATAATCAAACCAAAAACACTGAAATTTGAAATAGAGCGCCAAGTTCGCACATCACTGAGCAAAGTCGCAAAATCGTTTTCAGTGTCTGATGACCAATTTCCCCACAAATCATTATCACTCAATTCTGCAAGTGGTTCTGATTTACTATCGCTGTTCTCTAGCCGGTCTAAAACCGCTTTTGACCTAAAGGGACACTTTTTGGACGCCATGGACGTTTCTCAGTTTCCAGACAGAAAGAACAGTAAAAATGCAGGCAGGGCACAGGACAAAGCAGTAGGGACAAAATGTATGTGAAATGGTTTGATACAGTAATGTTTTACTATGTGATTTTAGTGAGTCACTTTTTGTCATTTTCAAATTTCCCGCCGTTCCGTCCCCCGTACGTCCAGACGCTCGCAGGGCACGGAACCCAGATGACAGATGCCGGCATCCACCGGATTACATTGCCGGGGACACTGCAGGAGGGACATCGCGGGAGCGCAGGACAAGTTAAGTGATTGAGGGATCGCGGAGTAGCACCACATGGTAAGCCTGAGTGTAGCTCGGGGTTACCGCTTGTGGAACTGAAACTTTTCCCCGAGCTACACTCGGGAATACCGCCAGGGAGGTTAAAGTGCATCAACTTACCCAAATTCTGATGGACGATCGACATCTGAGTCTGGATCTAGAAGGAAGTGCTTCTGTTCCGAAAAAACACCTGGTACTGTATCTACTGTTACCACTGGGAAACCCATTTGCAAGACCCAGGTGTCCATGATCTCTCTAACTGTATAGTCAAGTTTTACCTTGTCTTGTTTATTTACAGCCTAAAAATAAAATGAAATAAGGCTCTATTACTGATACTGTACAATATAATAACATAGCTTTCCATCACACAAAAGACAAAGACAAACATTGAATTCATCATGGCTGCATCTTTGGTTTAACCATATTTGGTTTGGTCCAAACATAAATGGGAGAGCTTTCCATTTATACCTATTAGAACATGTTGTCTCCCATTGAACTATGTGCAGAAATCTTAAGTAGCAGATGTTATGATGTCACTTTGTTGTAATGAGTGAGCACTGCAAGGCTTCAGACTATAGTCCAGCATTTGGCAGACTTTGGGGAACAACACTCTTTTTCCTTGTATATGTTCTAGAGCAGCCTTTTTCAACCAGGGTGCCTTCAGGTTTCTTCAAGGGTGCCTTGACAAAATGCATAGAAGTTGCCCAAAAATTGTCTACAAGCCAGCAGGTGGATCAAGTCTGCCTTTTAGTTGCACAAAGCTATAGGTTTTCATTGTGCACTATTACAACCTTCTAGCAATCGGCTAACAACCAAAGACATCATCGGTTGATAAGGAGGACATCGGGCGCTTGCACAGCATCTTTGTTTGCCCCTTCCCCACCCCTCTCCATCAACACTGGCTGTGTCACATTAGCTGAGTAAGGGAGAGAAACTGAGGGAGAAGAGAAACAATGGAATACTAGTCAGTACCTGTGTTATAGGTGTATTTGCTTTGGAAGAATAAATCACCTTTAACTTTGGGTGTCTTATGTGTATGCATGCTGCTGCATTATATAAAACTATTAGTTGTTTTTTTTTTACATATTGGATTTGGGTGCCTCGAGATTGTGCTGCATTTTAAAGGGTGCCTTGACTGAAAAAAGGTTAAGAAACAGTGTTCTAGAGTGTGAGACAGTACATGGTTATGCTAAGTGTACATTGTGTTCTGCTATGAGCTCTTATTGATATACAGCAATTTAAAGGCTAACTCCACATTCTTAAGCCTGTTTACAAGTTTAAAGTATGCCATGTAACATGGTGCCAAGTTGACACCCCCCCCCCACCAACAAAACAACTCCCCATTGGCAGCTATCAGTTCTGAATTGTGCGCGACTGTGCAGGGCTTTGCCCATAGAGTCGTTTCATTCACTCTGAGATCTGTGAATGAACTACATCTGGAAATGCGGGATACAGACTTGTAGTAATTACCACAATCATAGTCCATTGACAAGCTCTCCAGCTCTCTAACTGAAAGTCCGTACCTGGGTTCAGACAAGGAGCTTAAGGAAGAGTCTGCAGGATCCACTGGTTGCAAAGCTTTGCAGGCTCATTTGCAAAAAGTGACAATTGCCATTTTTTTGCCTGCAAATGTGGGTGCATTTATCTTTTTTTTTTTAATCTCCAAACTATAGCCCTTTGCCTGTCTTTATTGGCCTTTGGGGCAGCGTTCCATCCATTGACATTATGATGGGGCACCATTCCATCCACTGAAACCAATGATGGGGCATAATTCCTTCCACTGACACCAATGATGGGACACTATTCCTCCCACTGACACCAATGAAGGAGTACTATTCTTCCCACTGACAACAATTATGGGGCACCATTCCTCCCACTGATACAATGGGGTCACTTTTCCTTCTATTAAAACAAATTATGGGCATTGTTTGCTTCCAATGTACTAATGCATTTTCTACTCCCACTGGCCATAGTCTGGCCCCATAAAGCCTGAAGGACAATAAACTGGATATTTGTTTAGAAAGTTTGGAGACCCCTGCTTTAAACGAATCCTTTTTTATCTTAGCAGCCTATTATACGTTTTGAGAAGTGCAAATGCAGAACAAGGAGAATCCTGGCTTCAGTGTTTTATGGTAGTGGATGAGACTGTATTGTGTGCACACCTCCTCTCACTTGGCAGGGGCATAGGTAGATTTAAAGTAATTGTAAAACTCCAATTACCCCCCTCTCTATTCCCAAATAAAAATAAACCATCTCTAATAATGTTTATAATCTATTCTTTGCTTTTAGAGAAATGCATTTTTGTTTCTGTCAATCTGACTTCCTCGTTCTTGGTGACAATGATCTGCAGGCTCATTCAGCCTCTGCAGCGTTGCCACCACAGTTTGCATGCTTCTGGTTCCTTCACAAGTTAGTCAAGTCGGCTTACTAAGGGGCTTGATCCAATGGCTGCAGGGCGGATCCATTGCCTTGATGGTCAGCTCCGTTGTGCTTTGCTAAGTCCGGGGTGGAGGACACAGGAACTTAGTTCCACCCCACAAACTGGGCAACGTGAAGCGAGGTGAAAAAAGTGGCTACATGACCTACAGAACAGTAATTAAAAAAATGTTTGCTGAGTTAATCAATGGCTAGTGATGCACCCTTTCCAAATGTAGCACCCTCTATTGTGCTACTAGAATAGTGTAGTATATTATAGGCAAAATCATTGTGTGACTCATGGTAGCTGTGGGGTCACTAAGGTTGGGTTATTGCAGGTCATCTGGATGACTCTACAGGTTGTGGCCCTATCGCCTCCTCCTGACTCTGTGCTGAAGATACTGTCAGAGTTAGGAAGGGTCCCTAAGTCTGGGGGGGTATGGCCTCTAGGCTGGGCTCGGGCTGGCTCAGGAGGATACATTCTCCGGAGAGGTGTGGAGAGGGCCTCGGGCAGCAGAGAGGACAATGTAAGTGCAGCAGCACACTTTGGGATCTACAAGGGGAAGACTGCCACACAACAAGCTTTCCAAGGACTGCATTAAGCTAAATCCTTTTACCCTTGATCTGGAGATCTTCCGACAATCCAGGAGGGTTGGTAGTGTGATGGATATGGTAAAATGTCTATTTGGTTTCCTAGGAATATATACATTTTTCTATACATTTTATACGTATCTACTTTTATAATTTAATACTTTTTTTATATTTCTAAATGTTTTATATATATATATATGTTGTGTGAATTTTTGTGATACTTTAAGAAATCCTTGCTTGGGAGGTGTCTGCTCATGCACGACCCCTCCCATCATGCCAACTTGAGACAAAGGAATGTTTTTCTTTCTATAGATAAGACCTGGAAGAAGATCACACCTATACCATGATTGTTTTCATGTGGAAATGACCAATCAAAGACTAATATAATGCTTATGCTGTTCTCACATGACTCTCGCATCATTTTGCATATATAAGCTCACTCTCTCATTATAATAAACTAGAAGTGTTCATAGACTGAACTTGTGTGTCAGCGTGAGTCTCTTCAGTGTGCGCACATTCCAGAGCAAGCCAGCGTCATAAATTAGGACTGGAGCAGATAAGCACTGGACTATTTAGTCCTCAACTAAATCAGTAGTTTCTGCAGGTCAAGGAGCCGGAAGCAGCTTCGTAAGGGAGAGAAGACGTCTCTAAATGTAGCTACAAAAGTAAAGTGATTTTTTTGAGGGTCTGCTAGTTCCGCCCGAAGGGGGCAGCTGCTACTGATTCGCAACAACTGACGGCTTTCAGAAAAAGAACAGTTCAGATTCTGCTATATACATAGGAAGAAAGTGTCCCCCTTCCATTATTTCAAGTCAAGTTGGGCATCATCTCATAATCCCCAATCTCTATCCAAGTTGAATTCCCCTAAATAAAACCACAAAACCAAGTTCATGAAACTGGCCACTCTCTCTGGATGCAAGTCTGTGTGAAAATATTAGTTGCCTGGCTGTGTGGAAGGAGGCTTGGGGATACTCACAAGACAGTGGGTCTCACGAGGGTAGCGCTACACCTAAAAGGTCAGAATATGTATGGGTTTACATATGCTCCAAGACAGGGCTTCCTGAGGTAATGTGGTTCTGTCAAAGCAACCCAAAACAATTTCCAAGATTGTAATAATTTATGTTGTTTTCAAGTATGATCTTGCATTGATGTGTGTTTAGTATGTACTATTAAATGTTAAGTGGAGAGGATGTCATCAGAATACTGAGTCTCATAACTATTCGGTAACTTTATCATGACAAATGTGTTTTATGCCGCTAAGACTTATCTTCTGAAAAGCAGCTTAATCTATGTGGCCCATAAAACCTTCTACTGGAACAATCTTTGTGTTTCATATAGAATATTCACAATGAGTTCTTCAGTACTTTTTAAGAAATTCAAAATTACCGCTTGTAGATGATCCCATAGATCGGTGTATACCGTATTTTTATATTCAAAATCTTTAGGTAGGTCTAAAAAAAAAAAAAAAGTCAGTATTTGCATACATATAGGTGGATGGTCTGTAAAGACTGAAAACTGTTAGGGCCCATTCACACCTGTCTGCTGCAGTGCGTTAATTGTGCATGCATTAACTACCCTTTCTTATGCGTCATATTAGGGCATCCCATTCATTTGAAAAGTAATTCTTGAACCCAGATGTGATGGCATAACTCATTATCTCATTAGTAGTTTATTTCTCATATTTGCTGTGCTTTTCAAAATGCAAGCAACTATTTTTGAAGCTGAATATGCTAGAACCAATTCTATGGAAGACTTTTGTTTTTTGGTTTCGATATGCTTTAATTATCTTTTTACAAAGGTTAGTCAAAGTAGTTCAGTCTTTACTCATAGCCAAAGTCTTCCATGACCCTTTAAAACATTTAGTTATCCTTCTCCAAACATCTTTCCAGTTCATGGAAATGTAGACATTTGTAGATAGAAAAGGATCAGAGTCAGGGTGGGGTCTAATGGTGGCTGCACATGGTAATGATCTTATCGATCAATTCGTCATAGAATCGGACAATATGATGGAAACTATGATTTATCAAAACACCATGTCATGGATTGATTTGATTAGATTGAACTTCCGCCTAGCAGCACTGGGATCATCAGATTTGAATCGTAACCATGGCACAACTTTTGGCGACTACATCTTCTCCCTGTGTTTGTGTGGGTTTCCTCTGGGTACTTTGGTTTCCTCCCACACTCCAAAGACATGTTGGCAGGTTAATTGGCTCCTGTCTAACTGGCCGTGTATATATGAAAGTGAGATAGGGACCTTAGATTGTAAGCTCCTTGAGGAGCAGGGACTGATGTGAATGAATAATATACTATATGTAAAGAGCTGCATAAATTGTGTGTGCTATATAAGTATCTGTAATAATAATAATTAGCCTGGACAGGAAATCCAAACATAAGAAATTAAATACATCAATATGATAAGTAATTGTATGGCCCATCGAACAATCTTTTTGCTCTTCTGATTATATTTTTCTCAAGAACAGTAAATTTATATACTACAGTAAAAATACAGATGTATATACAATTATTGTGTTTATGGCGAGCCCAATCAATGTATTGACACCTCAATGATATTTCCTGTCTATAGCCATGCTATGGCTAGATCATAAAAATTGCATTGTGAATGTGAATAAACTCAGCTGAGAGATATTTGGGTGTGTGTAGCACCCTTCTAGGTAGCCAGGGGGAGCTAAAGTTCTAATTTGTAGACAGGGGCTGAGCAGCAGCCCAGGTGTGATAGTCAGAGCGGGGTCAAATTGTGTCAGAGCTGAGAGGCTCTGCAGACCAGATTTCTGAGACTTCTCCCAGCACTAGAACTTTGGAGAGAGTTCTAGAAGCAATTGGTGGCAGTACGGAGTGGCTGATCTACCCTTTTGAGTCATCCTGACCAATCCCCAACAGGAGGCTTGGCATGGGGACAGGACAGCCCTTAAAAGTGACAGAGCCTACTCAGCAGCAGGAGAGTTCAGGTGGAAGATAAGGAAGTGTGGCTGGAGAACAGGAACCTGGGAGGGAGCCCAGATGAAGAGGGGCTCACCTACAAACAGAGGACCTTGCATGGAGGACAGCTCAGGACTTCATTAGCCTCCAGAGCGAGGACCACTTGTGCACCATGGCAGCCAACTAAAATGCCTGGTAGCAGCCAGCCACCCACCCAACAGAAACACAGGAGGACTGAGTGAGTAAACCTGCACCCCCTGGACAAGTAAATGGAAAGAAGCACTTTGGTGGGAAACTGGATTAGCTTTTTACCTGGGACTGTTCACATTGCAGTGGCAGACACTGGATCCAGTACCCATGGTAATCAACCCACTACAGCTTGATAAGGAGAAAATTAATCTGGGGTCTGGGGGTGGTACAACAGGAGAAGCTGGCTAGCTCTCCAGAAAATAAATTTTGCTGTAAAGACTTGTACGTAGTTGCCAAGGACTTTGTCCCTCTGTTGCCATTACCAAATGCGCGTTTCCTGGTTGTGCAGGACTTCAGCGATTCCTAAGGGATTGGTGCTACATGTGTATTTTTGAAAAGCAAACATGGCAATGTCTTTGCACCTTTACCTTAGAAAAAGCGCAGATTATGATTGTTTTAACATATTGATCATAGTCAGGAGATACTTACTTGCAGCCCTTCAACAAAAAGCTCTTCAGTGAGAAATGAGGACAACATTCTAATAACTGCTGCACCCTGCACAAAACAGAATATAGAATGTATGAGTGTTAATTAGAAGACATGCAACATAGTGAGTACTGCAAAAACTCCTACCCTTTGTTTCAAGGCAGTAAAACACTACATGAATGACATCAAGATTAATAAAAAGATGAGCGCTATCTTGGGAGTTACTCATCACAAATTCCTAAGGACCTGGCGCCTTTGGATTGATCATGCTCAGCCATCTAGTTCTGACCACCTTTATTTGCATATTGAGATTCCCTGGGACCTCTCTCTTTCTCCTCTCCTTTTCTGGTCTTCTCTCTTTTTCTCTCTAGTTCTTCTCCCCCTCTGCTTTTCTCTTCTTTACATTTTCTATTTTTTTGGCTTAACTGTATAGGTATCTGGCTGCCCACTTTACAGAATTGGTCCCCCCCCCTTTTTTTCTGCTGGAAAAGCTATTTACACAGGGGTCCTTATTTGACTATTTTGTGTTTTGGGCACTAATTTCTATACGTCAGTCTTCAGTTTGTGAGCCTGTATTTTGCTGCTTTCCAGGTATGTCTTTTATTGTACCATCATTGGCTTTATCTCTGATGCCTAATTCAGCTGATGTCTACATTTTTTACTTGATCTGATTGGAATTGCCTCTGTTGGCTTGTTTTTGTCTTTATAACATTCAATAAAACCCTTGTTAAAGAAATCATGCAGCATAAAACCGTAATTGTTTTTAATATTATTAGTATTACTGCTGCTATTTTTATCATTGTGGATATTATATTAACCCCTTCATGACGGATGGTAAAACAAATCCTAAAGCTTGAACAAAGTTCTGCAACTTTGACATGTGTTAGTAAAACTACATATCATCGCAACTTCTTATTGTACCTTAGTGGATATACCTTGTTTTTTTTTTCAGGGCAAATTGGGCTTTCATTTGGTGGTAAATGGTAATGGATATGTCGTGATTTTTTTTATTATCAAAGGGAAAACTGGCATAAAATCATCAAAAAGTATAATTTAGCTATATATTTCCATTACCATAGCCTTCCACCAAAGAACAACCCCAAATAAATTCACCTGCTCCTGACAATCATAGCGATACCACAAATGTGTATGTTAATGATCTTTTCTATCCATAGTAGGGCCTAGAAGCAATAGTGCACATTTTGCTTTTTTATCCTACCTAAAACACGTTGACACTGATACTAAATTTAATGCAGAATTCCAACTGAAAAAAAAAAGTCAGCAACTAAAAAAACTGTAGCTGCTGACTTTTAAAATACAGCCACTTACCTGTCTCTTGGTCCAGCGGTGTCCTCACCACCACTGGTTTCACCGGCCTTCTTCTTTCCCTGGTGCCAGCTTGCAGCTTCACAGCCGGGTGCCCACTGCGCATGTGTGAGAAGCGCTGCGCCATGTGAATGGTCCCATAGTTTTATGGGACCTGTCATGTGTCCCAGAAGACTACGGGGAGGGAGTGAGGGAGGACAACTTCTGCTTCCGATTGCCTAGGCGATCGCAGCGGAAGTGGGAGCGGGTACCTATCAAATTCAGGTACCTGCTCCCCAAAGGTGCCAATCCTTAATGGGGAGTGGGGGACAAAGCATTAAAGTGACACAAAAAATGTTTTTTTTAATCCTACCTAAACATGCTGACCCTGATATTAACCTTTGACCCTGACTTTGCCCCTAACTCTAACCCTGACACTGACCTAGATCAAACCCTGATCTAGCCATTGTTTCTCTATTTTGTATTATTATTATGTTTCGCTCACAGGGTTCTATGTTTCCATTTTTCTCCTCTAGTAAGGTGAATAAGATAAAATGTGCCCTTTTCTCCATTCAAGAAGAGAAAACAGGAGTTGGCTGTACAGTGACTGATCACTGTGATAGCTAATTAGAGGCTTTCACAGCCATTAGGGTGATATGGAACCAAGACTTCCAGTTCCCAATCGTTAGTAGGAGACCCGGGGCTCTTGGTCTAGCAGCACGCTGTCAGTACAAACACAGTGGCACATTTATGCGGCCTCACAGATTAAGACTCACATGAAACCACATATATGAGTATGGCCACTAGGAAGGGGTTAAAGGCCAACTCCATCCAAAACAAATATTTCTATGTTATGTGGACAGTGGTGGGTCCAATCACCTACTACTGGGGATTTCAGTAGCGAGATTAGTGAACAGTAGTTTTTTTGTCCTCCATCCTTTCTTACAAGAATATTATGAAGGGGGGGGTCACTCAATTAGAGATGAACGTCCATCTTTTTTTTAATTCTGCATTAAGAGGAATCCATAGGAGAAGTAGAATGCTTTTTTTGTTGCCTTGACATTTGGGTGAATCTGAAAATGTGGGGTGAAGAAATATTTTTACTGGAGTTCCTAATAAATAAAAGAAGCTAGAATGTGACCTGGCTTGCCAACAACCACAGAAAAACTGAAGCACTCATTCTAAATTAGCACTCCATTCTTAATACTGTATATCAACCACTAAAACTCTGTCCTGATCTTGGTAACAGATACTACAGGCTTTGTGATAACAGCTTAATATAATTAGTGTTTTCTGTCCTTTATGTTGTCACCATGACTCAGTTTCATTGGAGGTGGAACACTCTTGTTACTTCACAACACCTATCCCTCCATCTTAAAGTGGTAGTAAACTCTTCTTTAATAATTTTACCAGATCAATATCTCAGGAGTTTAATTGACTTGATGCTATACTCTGATTAAAAAGTGTGCCTTTAATTTTTTATGTGCAGTGTATATATATTGATCTGGTCAGTTAAGCAGCAGAGGGGGTTGTTAATCAGTTTCAGCTGCTTTGGTGTTAATGAAATTAACAGGTGCACTAGATGGGCAACAATGAGATGACCCCCAAAACAGGAATAGTTTTACACTGACATTTTTTTCCTACTAATCTTTTCTGACTGTTTCTCTAGTTTTGCCATTTGGCCAGGGTCAGAGTCACTACTGGTAACATGAGGCAATACCTGGACCCTACAGAGGTTGCACAGGCAATTCACCTCCTCCAGGATGGCACATCAATACATGTCATTGCCAGAAGGTTAGCTGTGTTTCCCAGCACAGTCTCAGGAGCATGGAGTAGATTCCAGGAGACAGGTAGTTACTCTAGGAGAGCTGGACAGAGCCGTAGAAGGTCCTTAGCCCATCAGCAGGACCGGTATCTGCTCATTTGTGCAAGGGAACCCCCCCCCCCCCCCCCCCCCCCCCCCCCCCCCCCCCCCCCCCCCCCCCCCCCCCCCCCCCCCCCCCCCCCCCCCCCCCCCCCCCCCCCCCCCCCCCCCCCCCCCCCCCCCCCCCCCCCCCCCCCCCCCCCCCCCCCCCCCCCCCCCCCCCCCCCCCCCCCCCCCCCCCCCCCCCCCCCCTCCCCCCCCCCCCCCCCCCAGGATGAGCACTTCCAGAGTCCTACAAAATGACCTCCAGCAGGCCACTGGTGTGAATGTCTCTGACCAAACATTCAGAAACAGACTTCATGAGGGTGACCTGAGGGCCCGACATCTTCTATTGGGCCCTGTGCTCAATGCCCAGCACCATAGGGCTCGATTGGCATTTGCCATTGAACACCAGAATTAGCAGGTCCGCCACTGGCGCCCTCTGCTTTTCACAGATGAGAGCAGGTTCACCCTGAGCACATGTGACAGACGTGAAAGGGTCTGGAGAAGCCATGGAGAATGTTATGCTGCCTGTAACATCGTTCAGCATGACCGTTTTGGTGGTGGGTCAGTGATGGTCTGGGGAGGCATATCATGGAAGGACGCACAGACCTCTACAGGCCAGACAATGGCAGCCTGACTGCCATTAAGTGTCGGGATGAAATCCTTGGACCCATTGACAGGTCAGACCCTAAGCTGGTGCAGCGGGCCCTAAGTTCCTTCTGGTGCACGACAATGCCCGGCCTCATGTGGTGAGAGTATGCAGGCAGTTCCTGGAGGATGAAGGAATTGATACCATTGAATGGCCCCCACGCTCACCTGACCTAAATCCAATAGAACACGTCTGGGATATCATGGTTCCGTCCATCAGATGCCTCCAGATTGCACCTTAGACTGTCCAAGGGGCTCAGTGATGCCCTGGTCCAGATCTGGGAGGAAATGCCCCAGGACACCATCCGTCGTCTCATTAGGAGCATGCCCCGACGTTGTCAGGCATGCATACAAGCACATGGGAGCCATACAAACTACTGAGGACCATATTGAGTTGCTGCAATTACATTTCAGCAAAATGGAATAGCCTGCTGCATAATTTTTTCACTTTGATTTTCAGGGTGTCTTTGAATTAAGTCCTCTGTAGGTTGATAATTTTTATATCCATCAAATGATGGGACATCCCTAACACATGACCCAGTCCATGTCAGTATAGATATCCAGCATGATATTGTTCCCCATTGAGATCTGGTGTGTGTGTGTGTGTGTGTGTGTGTGTGTGTATGTGTGTGTGTGTGTGTGTGTGTGTGTCTCAGTGTCAGTGTCATTTTTGGCTCTATACACCACCACAATGGATTTGAAATTAAATGAACAAGATGTGCTTTAACTGCACACTGTCAGCTTTAATTTGAGGGTATTTACATCCAAATAAGGTGAACTGTGTAGGAATTACAACAGTTTGCATATGTGCCTCCCACGTGTTAAGGGACCAAAAGTAATGGGACAGAATAATAATCATAAATCAAACTTTCACTTTTTAATACTTGGTTGCAAATCCTTTGCAGTCAATTACAGCCTGAAGTCTGGAACGCATAGACATCACCAGATGCTGGGTTTCATCCCTGGTGATGCTCTGCCAGGCCTCTACTGCAACTGTCTTCAGTTCCTGCTTGTTCTTGGGGCATTTTGCCTTCAGTTTTGTCTTCAGCAAGTGAAATGCATGCTCAATCGGATTCAGGTCAGGTGATTGACTTGGCCATTGCATAACATTCCACTTCTTTCCCTTAAAAAACTCTTTGGTTGCTTTTGCAGTATGCTTTGGGTCATTGTCCATCTGCACTATGAAGCGGCGTCCAACGAGTTGTGAAGC